CTCACCGCCGATTAGCAATATACTCGATATCGGTGAGTTGGGGTAGGCGTGTCACCGGAAGTGACGTGCACTTGATAGAAGCTATGTGGATAAGCTGCTTCCAACATACATCGCTGGATATCAGCAAAGCATGCTGGCAACAGCTTATCCACGCAACTTCTATCAAGTGCACGTCACTTCCGGTGACACGCCTACCCCAACTTTCGGATATCGACTGTATATTTCGGTATCATTTTATCGCGCTGAATCTAGGGGAAGAAATAGAGCTAGGACACGAATGTGGAAATAAAGGATAAAAGGATAAAGCATTTGCCGTTGATCAATCCTTTTTGGGATGCGGCACGCATTCTACTTCCATTTGTACATTCGTAGTGGCGTTTGAATGCGATGTGGCCTATACAATGACTTGCGGGGGCCAGCCGATGTACAAGTCAGTGTTTTTATCCTCCCAGACAAGTCTGGTACCAATTAACCGACCCCGGAGGGATGGAAGGCTTGGTTGGCCCGGGCGACTCACGACCCAGGATTTGATCCCCGGACCGCTCGCGTGGTAAGCGTGCCACTTGCCACTACACCACTTCCGCCCTGGAAATAATCATCTGATTAATTCGGCTCACTGGATTTTTTCCATATCTTAGTATGGGCTTAGCGGAAACGTAAGTCCTCACCAACGAGGGAGGTCGTTCAAGGTGGGAAGCTCCTTCAGTAGATGTGACACCTAGTTGGCGCTGGTGCTCTTTAGAGTAGATCTAGAAGCTCCACTTCAAAGTGAAAAAAACTTTGTAATCACGGGGAATTTACCCTTGAATCACTTGCTCACCTATTTTGTCCTTCACAGGCCGCTGAGTGAAAATGGACTCAGTTTTGCAGTCCACCAGTGAGCTCCTACAACAAGCACGAAACCGTTTTGAGAAAGTGCTCCTCATGAAAGACCTTCACTGTAAGTTCAGAGGATTGCAGAACAAAACTTGATCTAATCGTGCCCTTCTAAAAATCATACCCAAAACAGCTGTGGGAGTGAGCTATCAACTTGGTGTGTATTCGGGCCATTTCGAGGGTACCACAATGCCGTTTTATTTCAATAGAAATATAACAAATACTATACTATGTGTTGACGTCATCCAAGTCATCCAAATCTTTTAAG